ACAGAGCTGGCGTTCAATGGGCACCTGCCATGTGCTGGGCACCTGTCCAAGGCTTTCCTCTCCACAACAAACCTGTGAAGAGGAACCGTTAGTATCCCCATTTTGACCTGAAGAAACTGGACTTGCCCAGGGTCCCAGCTAGTGAGGAGAACCCAGGACCGCCTGCCTGCCGTTCTCACGCATGCTCTCTCTGCCGCATCCCTGTAGCCTCTTCTACAGTGAGACAGAGGCCTAAGACTGAGGGTAGGACTCAGGGATTCTAGAACCCCATGGAAAAAGCACCATGCAAGGCCTAGCTTGGGTTAAGTAAGGCAGGAGGGAGGGACAGAAGCATTCTCCTAATGTTGTCCAAGTCATACACACAGCTTGTAAGGGACGAGCTGGGCCGCGACGGCCTAGGCCAGGCCCCAGGGCCTGGTCAGACGCCAGGGAGCAAAGGTGAGAATGGAGCCCGTGATGGGTCATCTGTGAAAAGGAGAGAACAGTTCAAACCTCGGCTTCACTGAGAATCCATGGGATACACAGATCTCCCCAGCATTCAAGACGTGATCAAATCTAGCCCAAACCCACCTCCCAGCCACTCTCACCACTCACAATACACCCCACTCCTTCTCTCCAGGTGAACCAGCGGCCTCTCTGCCCTCACTCTCACCCCGCACCTCAGCCCACACCTGTCCCTCCTGGAACCCCTTCTCCTGCCCCACACAGCCCAGTGAACTCACTCTCCTCTGCAGGACCCTGGGCAAAACAGCCTTGCCTCACTTTGAGCGCTGCCATGGGCTAGCAGACTCTCCTGGGTCTCAGCTCATCCCTGGACCCCACTGGGCTCAGGGAAGTCTGCAGGCCACGCTTCCAACCTCCCCGTTAGGCAAATGTCCCCTGAGCCACCATAAACACCCCACCCAGAGAGGATGCCTGGCTCAGGAGCCTTCCCTCCAGCATGCAGGATGAACCATCTACATAAATAACTCAGGTTTGGGGAAAAGTTGATCCAAGACTGAAGAGATGCAGAAAACCATGGGCAAGCTTATGAGCTCATGAGTGAGTGAGCTCATGTCTCTCATGAGTGAGAGACAAAGGAAAAGATGGCATGGGGAGGCAGACAAGAGAGGGGAGCAGGAGGAGGCCTGAGAGAGAGGAGCAGGAGGAGGCCTCAGACACTCAGGGACAGAGAGACGGGCACTAAGATGAGGAAAGAGAAATGGAGAATGTGGGTGGAGGGGAGCAACTTTTGACTAGGGCCTGGGAAGTGGGGCAGGTGGGTGGAGCCTGGTGCCTCTCAGCCTCCAGCAGACCTGGGTGGGCTCCCACCCCCAGAGCACCTGCTCTGTGGTGTAATGTGTTACTCTTAAGGCGGCTGTGAGGATGAGGATTGGTTGTAAAGGCCTCACTCCTACTGAGGAGGCCAACATGGCCACAGCATGAGGAGGCCTTGACCACCCAAATGAGCACAATGCCATCATGGGCATGTGTCAGGGTTCTATTAATAACCATCATTGCACCTTCCATCTACTGAGCATCTGCTCCTACATGCCAGGGCTGTGCTGCCCACTGACAGCCCTGGGCCCTGCCCCCTCCCCGCTGGGCCTCCCACTCCCAGCAGGCTCAGGGCTGGCCATGGGGACAGACAGAGTGCACACCTCCACCCCTGCCAGAGCCTTCTTCCTCATGCTTATCATCGGCTCCGTCAGCACAAGGCCAGCCTCCCTCATGCACGCTCCATGAGGACTTCTGGGCGGTGGACCTCGGGGGCAAGCAGGCCAGATTCCACCCTCGCCACAGCTGTCCCTTCTCCCCACCATCCCCTCCCCCAAGGGGCCCAGCCCGCCAACCTCTAATCCTCTGTCATCTGACCCAGGCTCCACCCTAAGTTGGTTCTGCCCAGCCACCCTACTGAGGCCTAAAAATGGACAGAGTCATTTATAGAGGGTCCGACAAGCCAAACGCAATGGGAAGATGACCTCATGGCACCCTTGGGCCCAAGCTCCCAGCACACACTCTGCACCCTGGGCACTCTGGGGGAAGCAAGAGCTAGGAGGCGAGCAGCGACAGTGCTATGCAGGCAGACCCTGGTGACCTTTCCAATATATTCTCATGGCCTCCTGACACCAGTGCCAGAGGCCACGGGACCTGACAACAGCAAGCTCCAGGCCAGCTAGAGCCACGGGAACCCTGCTGCCCACTGCCCCCTGGGCTCAGCCTAGGCCCAGGCACCTAGCACACGTCCAGGCAGCATCTGTTGAATGAGGGAAGGCAGAGGAGCCATGGCACAAACCACAGGCCTGCATCAGGGCTCCCAAGCCAAGCCCCTAAATGTCCTTCTCCGTTCATAAACAGTCACTCTGCACCTGCTGGGGCCAGGGGAATGCCGGGTGCACACACGGATCTGCCCTACCCTCAGGGAGTGCCCAGACCAGTGGTGGAGGTAGGCAGGCGATGGGTAATGCCAAGCCAGGACCCAAGGAGAGACCCACAGAGTTGGGGGGACAGGAAAGCTGGCCCCACAGGCACCAGAGGGCAAGCTTTCCTTGACCACACTGTCACCCTCTGAGTCCTGGTGGATGTTTGGACTAAGAAGGGATGTGGAGAAATTGGGAGAGAAGAAAAGAGACACATGACGCCCATCTTCCTGCAGATACCATCTAGTCCCCCAGCAAAGCTACTACTTGTCCCTGGTCAGGAAATGCCCTCCTATGGCAAGAGGACAACTAGAATTGCCCCACTATTGATTGATTTGACCGAGGCGAGATGGGGGTGGGGCAAGGGTGCCTGTGAGACCACCGACAATGTGAGTTAGAGTTAGACGTGGTCCTGAACACCCCAGAGATGCTGAGGAGGCAGCCAGGTCAGTGGCACCCAGGCTGTGACAGACTGAGCCACAGGAGGGCAAGGGGGAGAAGCTGGTGGCTTGAGGCTTCCTGAGAGGGGTAATGCAGCCAGGCCCACAAGGGAGGGACAAAGGAAGGCTACTATCTGAGACTCAGCCAGGATGCCTGTGGTGCTGCTCTGGCTTCTCTTGGGGGAGAGTCTCCTACCAGTGACCAGGGACAGAGAGCAGCAGTAGCACTAAGCAACTCCAGTCCCACACAGCCCAGGCTTGGGCAGGGCCAGCCCTTGATCAAGGCCAGCATCCAGCCAGCATCCACAGCTGACCTGCTGTCAGCCAACTGCCCATGGCCACAGAATGGGCTGAAGAGGGAGGGGTGGCAGCTCAGTGGGGTCAGCGATGATATATTGCCACTTACAGGGAGGGGACATGGCCCATGCCTATTGCTCCTGAAATTACTGAAGGATGTGCTGCAGAGACAAGGCATCTGGGCAAAGGGCACAGAGCAAGAGCCGAGGGGAGCCAGGAAGGAGCAGGCCAGCTGTGGGGTGGGGGCAGGGCACTCGTCTCAGCTGACCCTCTGCTTCCCACTCATCCTCCTCAGCCCCTTGGGAGCCGGAAGCAGGCTTAGGCCCAGAGCTGCCTGCTCCAGGCACCTAGATGGACTACTCAGTCACGGGAGTGGGGAGGAAGCAAGGGCAGCAGCATCTGCCCCCCCTCACCACCACCACCAACCTGAGCTTTGAAGGCTTCCCAGCCCCCAGGCAGCTATCCGTGGGGCTCTAATCCCTCCTCCCGCCCTGGGAGGGAGCGGACAGCTGGGGCAGGCCTGATCTGGAGCTTGGCTGAGGGCCTTTCCCTCCACGCGCACCCACCCACCTCCTTAGCCCGGGACCACAAGGATGAGCAGCAGAACTCTGAGGGAGGCACTGGGGAAGCTCTAGCCGCCGCCCCCACACCCATCACGTGGCTGCATCCCTAAGGAGCCCGCAGGTCTCAGCTGAAAAAGTCATTGTTTATAAACAGCCACAGGCCTGGCAAAGGAAGGCCGAGCCGTCCCCGGGGCTGGTGCGTCGGACGAGAGAGGCGGCAGACTCCACTGGGGGGCCACCCAGGCAGGAGCACAGATTCTGCAATCTCAGATTTCAGAGTCGGAGTCGGCAGGGGAAGTGGCGTCAGCAGCTGGCGTGATCCAATTCAATAAAGCAGAGGCGGCAGGGGATAAAAAGCGGAGCCGGCGCGGACCCCCGCCCCCTAGCCCCGCATTTCCTGCACAGTCCGGGTGCCACGGGAAGCCCCGGTTCCATCCCCCGCGCTTGGAGCCAGTTGCTCCCGGCGCTGAGGAGTCGGGTTTCCTGCAGCGCCCTCCACACCCCCAGCGGCCCACGGCCAGTCCTCCGGGCCAGTTCCCCACCCCGGCCGTGGGCCCCCAAACCCAGAGCCACCACTCCCTCCCCTGCCGCCGGAAACGCGAAGCCCCTGCTCCGACAAAGGCACCTCCCCGAAGGGTGCGCAGCCCTCGGCTGCCCGGGGTCCCGGCCCGAGCTTCCAGGCCGCAGGCACCTCTCGGGAAAGGAAACCCGATCCCTCCTTCGACCAGTGGGGAAAGAAGGTGGAGAGGCGGGTGGGGAGGAGGGAACGGCGGACGCAGGAAGCTCCCAGAGGCCTGGAGCGAGCGCGCTGGCGAGGGGCAGCCTCGGGATTCCTGGAGCACGGCGGCCCTAGGGGACAAGGGGCAGGCTCCCTCCCCCAGCGCAGGCCCCGCCCGCACGGCCCGCGTGGCCCTGGAGGGCTGGGAGCGCCACCTCGTCTCCCAGCCTCCCGGCCCTCGGCCTCCAGGGTGGGGTGAGCCTAGACCTCGCGCCCGGAGAGAGCGTGGGCCGCCACTTCTCTGCAGACGTGCGAAGAAGACACAGAGCGGCCGGGGGCGGGGGGGGCGGGGACAGCTGCGCCCTTTTCTGGCCCCCGCCGGGGATGGGGAGACTGAGGACGAGGACTGGAGAGGGCGCCCAGAGCGCCGGGGCCGCAGCCCGTAGACCCCCCCCGAAGGCCTTCGGCAGCGGTCGTCCGGAGGTGACAGCGCCCGACACCGGGTGAGGACCAGCACCCTGAAGCGGGGGTGGGGGGACAGGTGGCGCGGACGGCTCGGCGGCTGGGGGTCGGGCTCGCTCACCTTCTCCTGCGCGCGAGTGAGCTTCTTCTGCACGTTACTGGCGATCTTCCCTGCCGTCACCCCCTTGCTGCCCATCTCTGCCATCGCGGCTCAGGCCTCGCCCGGTGGCGGGCGCCGATCTCCCAGCCCCCGGCCCCCGGCCGCGCGTCCTGCCCCGGCTCGCGCTCCACGCCGCGCACTAGCCAGCCGCGCCGACTGACGGAGGCGGAGCGTGCGCCCGGCGAGCGAGCGAGCGAGCGAGCGAGCGACGCCGGGACCGGGGGATGGGGGACGGCCGGCGGGAGGGAGGGGGAGGGGGAGGGGGAGGGGCTGGGCCTTCGGCGGCGGTCAGCGCCCCCCGCCCGCCCCCTCTGGACCAGACACTGCCTTTTAAAGGGCCACTCCGGGCGCCGGAACCGCCCGGCCGGCCAGGAGCGAGCGGCGCGCGCGGGTGCCGGGGCTGCGGCGAGCGGGACTCCCGGGACGCTCCAATGACACCGCGCCGGGGCGGGGACTAATACGACAGTCCTGGGTCCGGGGCCGCCGCGCGCCGTGTTGTCCTCCTAAGTAGTCACCTCCAGCCGCCCAGATAAGGAGGTCGATGGGGGAGAGGGGTGCTTTCAAAAACCCGAGATAAAGTGCGGCGATTGGTGCGCACCCCTGGTATCCGGGAGCCGGGGCTGGGAGGGGGCGGCTGGAGCCCCCTTTTCTCCCCCGGGGCTTACCCCTGGCCCCGCGCTGGACGCTCGGCCCCCGCCCGGCCTATAGTCTCACCGTCTCCACCTGAGTTCTCTGGGCGCCTCTGGAACGTCTTCACGTCTCTGTCCCCGGCGCCTGGTCCCATGCCAGCCAAGGCGCCCGGTCTTCCACTTTGCTGATAATTATTGTTATAACAACAAAACCTAACATTACTGAGTGCTCACTGTGTGCCTGGCGCTCGGCTAAGAGCCTCCTCGACAGGCATTGTCGCCTTCAGTCTCACGACAGCCCCAGGAGGTGGGTGCTGGTATTGTTCCCATTCTACGCAGGACCCACCGAGAGGCCTGCAACCGGATCCCTGACTCCACATCCCAGGCTGTCGACCGCCGTACCCTGGGTTGTCTTCTCTTCTGTGCTGGAAGAAAAATGATTAATGACCGTTATTCTAAGAGAAGATAAGCTTATTGGTAACCGTCTTTGTCAACAGACCAATGACACGTTCAAAATTAATAAATATGTATTGTGACTACTGACCCCAACACACCCCTCCTTAAAATCATGTCAGGGGCTGTGAAGGATGCACGGCACCATGCAGCCCTGGAGGTCAGGGCACAGCCTGAAGGTTTCTAAGGGACTGTGGGCTGAGTTGACAGAGACAGGAGTCCTGGAGGCCCTGCTGAGGAGGAGTAGATGGGAGCCAGGCCAGGGGTCCCTGGGACACTCCGGGAGCAGCAGGAAGGCCTCTCGCAGACCATACACCAAGCCCCCATGCAAATAGAGAAGCTGAGGCCCAGAAATGAAAGGTTGAGGCTGAGTTCCATAGCCGGCTCTCTCTTCCCTCTGTTGGGAAGGCCCTGCACTCTCTCTGCTACTCCTCCTGGTTCTTCCTATTACTGCTCAGTGCCTCTACGCGAAGATCTTCATCAGCCCTTCCTTCTGGCCTGTTTTTATTCCTATTTTGCAGAAAGACAGACTGAGGCTCTGCAGCTGCTGAAGGTCACAAGAGATGAGCAGAGATCCACACCCAGGCCTTCCTGCACTAAAGCCCTCAGCTGATACACTGAACTGCTTCCCAGAAAAAGCACTAAGCATTGCGTGCATGGAAAGCATTTTGTCAAAATTATTTTTATAACCTCTTGCCCGATTCGTGAGTTACAAAAACAAAACCTAAAGCAGCTTTCTCCTGAAAGCTCAACGCTTTCACTTCATGTCTCTCTCCTCCTAATTTTATGTTTGTCATTTTTCTAACCGTTTCTAAGAGCGATTTTTTCCAACATTCCTCTGAGGAAAGGAGGAAATGAGCAGAAGTCAAACCGTGTTACAGTCAGCCCACAGGGGTCAGTGGGAGATTCTGCCTCGCTGGACTTTGTTGTTTCAAAATATCACTTGACAAAAAAATTGGAAGCCACTTAAATGGTTATCAGCAGGATAGGGCCAGCTAGCCAGCACAGCGGCCAGAGTGGCCATCAGGGGACCATTTGAAACAGCCATTACAGAGACCATTACCATTATGGTAAACAACCACTACCATTATGTAGCAACATGCAAATAATGTTTGTGGTATAATAATGAGTGAAAAGGAGAAGATAGGAAACTGTGCATGCCCTTTCCTTGTAACTGTGTAAAAATAAGTACAATTCTCCAGATCAAAGACTCCAAAGAACCATTCACAAAGGAGATAGATGTGTTAGGGTCAAGGCATCATGGCTGATTTCTTCCCCTTAATTTCCTAAATATTGCATAATATGCTATATTGTCTTCATAACTAAAACACACACACATAGCTCTATCCTTCAAGAAGGTAATTCTTTATCTGATCTCTAGATTGGAAAGACTTTTCTAAGCACAAAAGCATTGGAGGATATATTGAAATAAAAAATGCCAGTTTGAGGGTACATAAAAATTAAAATATTTTAAACTTCAAAAAATACCATCAACACATAGGATAAAAGTTTGGAAGGAAATGCTCCACAAATGTTAGTATAAGTCCAAAGGGTAGGAATGTAGATTTTTACTTTCTTCCTTATGATTTTTTACAGTGTCTGATTTTTTCTACCATGATAGCCCATTGTTTTTACCATCAGATAGATAAATAAATAAATAAAGCTATTTCCCTTTTGAAAAGAAATTTGACATAAAAAATTAAAGTGTAAGAAACTAGGGAAATATTTTTGAAAATAAAATAGAACTCTTACAATACATAAGAAAAACATTAAGATCCCAACATAAAAATGGGCAAAAGGCACAAATGGACGATTCACAATATGGGAGATTCAAATGATCAATAAATAGGATTTAAAAGTCGAGTCTTACCAGAAAACATAAATGTTTATTAAGTCAACGAGATACCATTCCTGCCCACACTTTCATCCAATCAGCAAGTGTTTTTTTTTTTTTAACTATATTACTTAAAACCAGAGAGACAGACACTCTCACATACTGCATCTGAGAGTGTAACAGACACAAAATTTCTGGAAAGCAACCTTGCAATATGTATTAAGAATCATCATAATATCCATATTCTTCAACCCTAGAATCCCAAGTCCAGGAGATATTCAAAATTTTAGAAAGCTTTAATCACACAGATGTTCATCACATTATAATAGTACAAAACTGAAAACGTGAATGTTAGCTATTATTGTTGTTGTTGTCATTGTTGTTATTCATGTTCACTCACTCCCTCAGTCGCCAAACATTTCGGAGCACTTACTAAGTACCAGTCCTGGGCTCTGCTCTGCAGAAACAGCGATGGGTGCAATGAAGCCCCTTCCGGGGAGTGCACCGTGTGGGGGACAGGATGGGGGTCTGGGAGGCTCTTTGAAGGAGTGATGTTGAAGACCTGATGTCATGGGCAGTGACAGGAGAACAGGGAGAGAGCCTGGTGCCTGGCGGAGCCCTCAAATATCGGGGCAGGAATAAATGAGCAGACAAGCAAATATCCAACATACTACTGCCCTACCTCTGCTTCTGCCCCTTCAGTGCTCAGGCCTCCCAGCCCCTGCATCCCTCCTGCTCTCCACAGCGGAGACCCCCAGAGGCCCAGCTGTCCAGCACACCCCCAGACATTTGCACAAAGGCCTTAATATTACCACCTGTGACTGACGAAACTATAGTATAGCCATACATGAAATGTTTACCAAAGCAATAATGCTGGTAAAGTTTTTTGTGATGGGAAATGCATATAATGTGTTGCCAACAGAATAATGCAGGATATTAAATTGTATAACAAACAGTATAGTACCAACTGCTATCCAAATGTGGTTGATGTCTCTGGGTAGAGCAATTGAGCATGGCTTTTTTTTTCTCTTCTTCCTTTTTTATTTTCCAAATTTCGTACATGTACTATTTTTGTAATCAGAAAGAAATGCTATTAAAAATACATATTGAAAGCCAGAGAGAGAAAGACAAACACAGTATGTCCTCTCTCATATGTGGAATATAAACTAACACACGGACAGAGAGAACAGTTTGGCGGTTACCAGGGGGAAGGGAGTTGGGAGGTGGGCACAAGGGGTGAAGGGGCACATCTATATGGTGACTGACAAATAATAATGTACACTGGAATCTCAAAAAGTTATAAACTATTATGACATCAATAAAAAACTAAAAAAAAGAAAAAAATACATATTGAAATGAGGAAACTGTCCCCTAGAATGCTAGTTGGGAGACCACAATGTGGCAGAGTAGAAGGAGGCACAGAGGCAGACCATGTGTGCCGTGCCTGCTGAGCTGCGCGTCTGAAGCATGAGTTCTGGGGAAAGGATTTTCTAAACTGTGAAGAACTCAGACAAGCACGGGGCAGTCCTCCTTTCCGTTAGAGAAAACAGAGCCCCGCCCCCGTGTATCCTTCTGTACTTCAAGAGTTGAGGAAGAGGCTCTGAGCCAGCACTATGACCCTCATCATCATCATCATCGTCGTCATTCTATCTTAGAAAGCAAGATTTTTCATTTATTCCTTTGACTGTCAGAATAATCCTGTGTTCCACAGCAGTAGGACTTTTTGCCATTCTTTTATTTTTTTTTTTTTTAAGATTTTATTTATTCAGTTTTTTCCCCCCAAAGCCCCAGTAGATAGTTGTATGTCATAGGTTCACATCCTTCTAGTTGCTGTACGTGGGACTCGGCCTCACGTTGGACGGAGAAGTGGTGCCTCGGGGCGCTCCCGGGATCCGAACCCGGGCCGCCAGCATCAGAGCGCGCACACTTAACCGCTAAGCCACGGAGCCGGCCCTGCCATTCTTTTATAGATGGAGACTCAGAGAAGACGGATTTACCCAAAGGAACACGGCTGGTAGGTTCTGTACTGAGATGGCTTAGCACCTGGCAATCTCCAGTGTCTGGAACAGACCAACTCCATACATCCCTCCTGGCACAGCGGGCTTCACCTCTGACAGACGGGGGATTCAGAAGAATCTACAGGCAGAACCAGAAAGGAATTTGTCTTTCCAGAAGCATTATTTCAGGGCAGCATACGTGTGATATGGTGTCCAAGAAGGGCCCCCTGACTCCCGTTATCCTTGC